GCAAATTTAGGCTCATGCTCGGAACTTACGGCCATTGAGTAGGGAGGGATTTCTATCGTGCCACACCTGCTGTGACACAGGGCCTCGGTTTATACGGTATCATCCGAAGGACCGTCCCATTTAGGCGCCTTTTACGACAAACAAGGGGGTATTTAGGACCTATTCCAACCCGGATCCACACGGGGACTTGGTGAGAAAGAAGATATGGAGAAACGACTGTAAAATGTTTTGAACAAATCAAAGAACTTCAGAGAGAAAATGATATCCGTTTAAACAAAAGATAGTCTAATGCGGTTTGATCTTTTTTCTAAAGATACGAAAATGTAACGAAAAAGACAAATAAAAGAATTATTTTCAGTGTCAAATTTCATTGAAAAGAATTTTCAAAAAAAGTCTGTGCAGATTTACAAAGCACTAATTTGAAAAAGAAAGTTTAAATGACTTTTACCATTTAAATTTTTCTTTGTGCAAATTCACAATATTACATTTGAGCTGAACTCATGCATGTTCAACTGGCATTTTAAAACGAAGAAGGCTTTAACAAAGAGCTAGTTATCTCCTCATTTTTTTATTTGGGGTAAAATGAATGTTTCGTATGATCCTCTTCAACAATCAGAAAAAAAATATCATGAAAACGGCTGTAAAATATCATCTACATCAGGTTTGAAGCTTTTTAACCTACCGTAGCAGTGAATTACTCCGTATAATAAAATGATCCACCAGACGCCAGCCATTTCGAATGAGGAAGTAAACTGTGACAAATCCTTGTTAAATTACTTTCAAAGGGTAGATTGCCAAGTGACCTTCATAAACGAGTAAACACCGTTTAAAAGAGTTAACACCAGTTTCAATAGGAGGCCTAGATTTTTTACTTACTTTAGTTCTGTGACAGTTGCCAGAAATATGCTTGTCATTAAGCGTAGTAAAAAGATTGAGCAACATATTTATGCTGAATGAAATGAGTTGAAAACAGAATCGTGGCAATCTTCCAAACACATCCAAGGTCTGTTTGGAGCATAACGGAATCAGCCAAGAAGGAATCATATTTATGAAACATTCATAACTTCCATGTCCAGGATATGGTCCGCTGATAATAGCTGGGCAGATTTAAAAATTGTAACAATTTAGGTTACATGTAATATATCATGCAAGGATGTTCATTTTTTGTAGGAGTTAAATAATAGTGATTGAATGTTAATTTGGTTTTATATATTTTTACCTAACATTTTTTAACTCATTTAAAGATCATAGCAAATACCGGGAAAACTCGTCAAATTTAGACATTTATTCGGCACACTGGCCATTTAACAGTGGGGTTTCTTTATCGTTCCAACGTCGATTTTTTCTTTTAAAATTTAAATGTACAGGATATGCAGCGAGAAGTAGAGAGAAGTGTTATAAAAAGCAAGATGAAGATTTAAAAAAATGAGCAACCTAACAAGATAATAATTTTAACTAAAATAGGAGGTTCAAGGTACCCGACTCATAATAAGACACAATTTCCTTACCTCGTATATCGACTCTGTATCAAATACTCTGAAATTAATTCAAAGAAATTCAGAGTAGAAAAGGATCTCTAGGTGAATTTTGGGGGAAAAGCAATTTTCTAAGGTAAAACATTAAATACCGAGGATATCAAGAAATGGCATGGTCGAAAGTTAAAATAACTATAGAGAATGGAAAAACAATTAAAAATTCATTTCTAACCCCGATTGATTTTTTTTAATTACAGGGTTCTACATGAGCTGTTTTACTGTGTTGGTTCTATCACAGTAAAATTTTTCCGACACAGTAACGGTTCAAATTTTATGAGTGTGTCTCATTTTTTAAACATTTGCCGACACAGTAAGATCTGTGATTATCGATAAATCCAAACGTATAAATTTTCTCTAACTGAAACCTTAATCATTCAATTCTACCGTCTTTCAATTCTAAAAGTTAGAGCACTTAATAAGGGCTTTACCTTGCAAAATCAATTATCCCCTAGACCCTCGCCGGACCCTTTACGTATGAAGAAACAAAGACAAATAAATTGTTTTCACACTTTATGTAACGGAAAAATTGGTAATTGAATTAAAAAGTACATTTAATTATTTTACAAATATATTTAAAAATGTCTTTTCTATAGAACTACGGCTCTAGAATAATGTTGGCACGGTTAGTCAAACATAACATCGTACCGAAATCATTTAATTGATGTAAATTAATAAATTGTTTTAAATTTTTAAGGAACTTTTAAAATTATTTTACTATTCTGACGATTCCCTTTTTCTAAATTCGGCAATTCAATAAGAAAAAAATGTTTAAAAATCACCGCAAGTATACTTTGAAACATAGTATTAATTACCATAGTTCGATGAAGAGAATATCCTCCGCTTTTTAGAATATGTATTTTACTTTTATCAATATGTACGACCATATGTTTTGTGTAAAGAATTATTTTTTTTTTTAATTTGTTACATGTACATGTATTCTTTTGTGATTCAGTTCCAAATTTGACCGCAAAAATACCGTTCAATTTTAGTGCTTCGACTAAACTGTGCAACACAGTAAAATTTCAAACGATGGAGAACCCTTGAATTGATATTTAATAATTAAGGAAAAGGAGTATAACTCCTCAAGGACAGGACAAGCTCAGGTAAAAAAAAAAACAATTCGCTTTTACATATTGAGACTAAAATATACATATTTATTTGACAAACTAGCTTTGCTGTGTCCGTGAAAAATTTTGAAAAACGTTTTTCCACAAATATTTTTACGTAAGATTTTGTTGTCCCTTGTGACAACTCTACCCCCAAGGGTCATGATTTGAACAATCTAGAATCTACACTACCTGAGGATTTAAGTATGCACAATCATGGCCTTGCTGTTCTTGAAGACAATTTTAAATATTTTCCCCTTATATTTCAATGCAAAACTTTGATCGTCCCGCAAGGTCCCGCACTATCCCCGGGGGTCATGATTTGAACATACCTAAATCTACACTATCTTTCGATGCTCTCATATAAATATGCCCAATCATGGCTTTGCTGTTCATGAGAAGAGGATTTTTATAAAGAGTTTTCCTATATATTACTATGTTAAATTTTGTCGTCCATTGTGACCCAACCCTACCCCGAGGGTCATGATTTGATCATGATTTGATCAATCTTGAATCTACACTACCTGAATATGTTCTGAAAAAATATGTCCAATCATGGTTTTCCTGTTCTTGAGAAGTTTTTCTGTAAAGATTTTTTTCTGTATATTCCTATGTAAACCTTTTATCGTCCATTGTGACCCCGTACTACCCCCTGGGCTCATGATTTGAACAAAATTGAATCAACACTTCCTACCTGAGGATGCTATCATATAAATATAACCAATCAAGGCTTTAATGTTCTTCAGAAGAAAATTTATTAAGATTTTTCCTTCATATTTTCATGTAAAACTTTGATCGTCCATTTTTGCCCCGCCCTATCCCCGGGATTATGATTTAAAAAAGCTTGAATCTACACTAATTATGGATGCTCTCATATCAATATGACCAGTCATGGCTTTGCTGTACTTGAGAATAAGATTTTCAAAGATTTTCCATATACATTTCTTTGTAAAATTTTGATCGTCCCTTATTACCCCGCCCTACCCCCGGGGTCATGATTTGAACAAACTTGAATCTACACTACCTAAGGATAATTCCCCATAAGTTTCATCTTTCCTTGCACAGTGGTTCTTGAGAAGAATATTTTTAAAACATGCCATCACATTTTCACTAATTTTCAATTATCACCCCTTGAATTGGGCATGGCTCTTCATTTTAACAAACTTGAATTCCAACCCAAGGATGCTTTGTAGCAAGTTAAGTTAAAATTGGCCCAGTAGTTCTGGAGAAGAGGTCGAAAATGTAAAAAGTTTACAGACGGACAGGCGGACTACAGACACAATGTAATCAGAAAAGTTCACTTGAGCTTTCAGCTCAGGTGAGCTAAAAACTGTGTCCCTTCTACAATGTAAAGAAAATCCTGATAAAATGGGTTGTTTTGTATGCCTTTTGACCCTTGTAAGGCCAACCTAATGATAGAGGGTTTCTTTAGTATATATACGATTGTTTGAGCTTGCTGAACTAAATCTTTAAGTGCATGAGAAGTCCCATCCAGGGTAAGTAAACAGATAGGAGGCTGCATGTAAAGGATATTTTTAATTCAAATAGCAAATTTAAACTACAAAAAAGGAAAGTCTAAAAAAAAATATCTACGTGCTAAAAGGTTTCCATGTTGTGTTTGTCTAACATAAATAATTGTTGTTGTTCTTTCTCTAATCGGTTTCAAATAAGCAATCTTTATATTATAAACATGGTTTATATTAATATAAAATACGTAGAATTGATTCAAAAGCTGTTTATTATAATTTCATCATATTAAGGACAAAGTACAGTCAAGTGGCTTGTCGTCTCATCAAAATTATGAAAATGAAGAGTACATAATCTGTGCAAATGGATTTAAAAAGAATTGCATTGCTTGCCTCTATGTATCCCCAAGAAAATGAATAATTTTCTAATTATTTTTTACACAAAACATGTAGAAACTTTCAGATAAAATTGCAAGTATGACATTTACAAGTACATGTATATATCAATAAAGCTGTTATTTAAGGAATTGTCTTAGATCATAAGCTATGCGTATAGTTAAAATAATATGTTATCCACTCAGATACATTCTTTTGTATGTAAGGATAAACAAAAGTGCAATTTAACAGACTGTTTTTAAAACATTCACCTTTTATGTAAAGATGAACCTTGTCCATATGAACATTAAATAATAATTCAAATGAAGCATCAGAAAGTCCTGGTGGTGGTTTGTATATCTCACAATTACAATAAAATTATAGTAAATCATTGATTTTCAAACAAAAAGTATCACCAAATACATCTGAACAACATATCAAAGGTGTTAAAAACAACCGAATTCTTGCTAAGAAATCGCTGAAAGATAACCGAGATATATTCATTGCAATGCATTTGCAACCATGAAACATTCCGTCAATGAACATGTACAAAGATCTATATATTTGAATACACTACATAAGTAAGTATATTTGCGGTATACGTTATGTCTCAATTAGAGGTGTTGGCATAAATATTTTCGGTTTCCAAGAATGCACAAACAGCCTTGTAACAAAACTCGTATTCTTCCTGTATAAAGAAACAACACATTTATTATCTGTTTTCCCATACTTTTTTCAAGATACAGTTCAAATTGAGAGTTTACAAATACACCTCTTAATCCACCTATTTTATAACTTTGTTTTATTTATCATCCGATAAAGTGAAATTACACAGCTATAAAGGCATGTATTTTTATAATAAAATCAAAATTTTGATTATCATATAAGTTAAAACATTATTATTGTGTAAAAATATACCTTTGTAGATATCATTTCCGGTCTTCTACACTGTATCTGCTGTACTATGGTAAATATGTCCACCTCCTCGTCCTGTTGTAGCTGTTCTATGGCGTTATATACAGCAATAAATACTCCACAGCAGGTCGCACCATCCCTTTTGATAAAATAAAAAGAATTTTTGTATTTATTTGTCTTACCATCGTTGCATCTTTAAAATCATAAGTATTTAATTTATGTTTATGTCTACATACAAGAATACTGGTTGATCAAATAAAACTTCTTTTCTCTCTGAAGAAAAATGGTATGACACCCAAAGTCAATAAAAGCGTGCAATTAAGAGTTGAGAAAAGTGAAAATTTCAGTACTGATATTTTCTTCTCAAAATATTGCAGAAATATTGACAAATACCTAAATATGACTTTGTTAAATGGATTTCAAGTTAACTTTCAAGATTTTTGTAAAACCATCTTTCAAAGTATGGTAACATTTTTCACATTTTTCTATGGTGTAACATCCGTTACTGCTCACCATGGTTTAAATTTATTGAATAAATAATTTTCCCTTTAGTTTTGGAGAACATAACTCTAAGTTTTGCTTCAAATATGTTTAGATGACGAAACAAAACAACAAACGGATAAATTGTGCATCAAATTTTATTTTAAACTTTAAAGGAAAAAGAGTAGGAAAAACGACCAACGAAAAAATTGGCAAAACACAAAACATGACTAGATTTCAATATCAATACTTTTGATATGTGATTAAAAATTGAACAAAGAACAGGGAAAAAATATAATACGGTATATAAATAATTTAAAGTAAGCGTGAATGAAGGTTTAAGTGCTATTTTAAGAAAAAAAATATGGCTGAAATTTAAAAGTGCACTCACAGTAACGTATGTTACTCCGTTTTTATGAGGACATAAAACGGCTCAGTAAAGTGCATTCAAATGAAAAATAATAGTTTTTTGACTGGAACATACACATACCACGTACAATTTAGCAGTTGGTCATTCCTGAATTAAGCAATGGTGTTTTTTTTATTATTCAAAGTAAAATTATTGGACAAAATTATAAAAATGACAACTGTACATTTATTAAATGAAATCGTCCAATAAAGTCTTCTTTACAGCCAAACCGACGATCGAAATTCCTATTTCAAGTCTAATATTCAACATAATAAAAACATCATTATCAAGTACAGCTTGTATTAACGTAAATTATAGTAACGTATGTTACAATTCAAAACTCACATGTACATGTTCAACTGACAGAAAATAAAATCCACAAATTACTGAAACACTAAAGCAGTTGAGCCACATGTTTAATAATGCATTTTTACATCCTTAATGTTATTCTATAAATGATTTTGTAGGTTATATAATTTATCATTCCATTTGTAAATAAAAGAATAAAATTTCTCTCTAATTGACTATGTACAGCTCAAATCTATCAAATTTCTTCTGCCTTTTCCTTCCTTTTGCCAGAAACTTTCCTCTTTCTTTGCCACTTTTCATTCTCTGTACATTTTTTTATTTTAGCACTCGAAAGAACTATTTTTGTTAAAATAAAAGTAACGATATATAGTAACATACGTTACCCAATGTCTTATATATTTATTATTGTCTATATTTTTGAATACCATTTCATAAAATGCTTTTTCCAGTTTAAGTGAAGTAAAGTATTTAAAAGTAATTCTTATATAATTGCAGCATAAAATCCCCGGCGTTTGTGATCAAATCGTTTGTACAAAATTCCAAACAAATAAAATTGAAATCAGATCCCAGGTAGGGTTTAATTATTTATCTTACGGTTAAATGTAATAAAATATATTAAAGAGATTTATTTTATTCACTCATCTTATCTGTATTGAAATGAATATGCAAGAAGTTTTGATATTTTACATTATTTAATGTTTTACTGAACTGTGAAAAGTTTGAGTAGCATACGTTACCATGTGTAACGTATGTTACCTTCATTTTATTGCCAATTTCCAAAATATTCGAGTAAATTTGAGTAAATATTTTTTTTTTCGATTACTAACTAAAGGTTTTCTGTCATAATTAAAATAAGAGTCGTAAGAATGATTTCACCCTATTACCTTATAACAGTTCAACATAACAAACCTTACTATTTACAGCTGTGATATGCCAGGATCAAGGAAAAATTGTTCACACGTGCTTTTGTATTGCACAGATCATGTTTAGGCGTTCTTTTATGCTCCACGTGACAACAAATTTCGCGGGTAAATGTCGCAGTGTAGTCAGAATAGAAAATCACGGTATCGTATGTTACGTCACGTAAGTTAATCACAATCTTTAATCTTCCGATGGCGTTTCAGAATCAGTCGTTGCCTGACTTTAGAACTTTTAATTTATAGACAAATGAACATGATTGAAAGTGCAAACTTTACTAACCTGTCCCATTACTAGATAACTCTAAAAATGAGGTAACGTATGTTACATTCTTATTTCGAGAAAAATAAATTTTCCAATTTTGAAAAAGTTGTCATCAAAATAGCATTACAATTATGGTTTTCTCTTTTTAAAAATGAATGATCATATAATATCTCCAAATTAAACGTAAACATTCATGAAAAAATAAATTAAAAAGTCGTCATTCTGAATATTTGAAAAACTATATATGTTAAAACACTAATCTGGCGACACAGTTATTGTTCCATAAAAATCATAGTTAACAACCAAAATGATAGTGAGGACTACTGATAATTCAAAAAGGAGCATCATATACAGAAATTAGTGCAATTTGAAAAAGCAGTACAGCATTTTTCTTTTATTTTAAGAGCGTTGAAGATGAAAACTCTATCAGGCGACAGTAACGTAAGTTACCAAATGACCCATTCAGAGCTCTCTCCTTAAAAAATCTGTTGCCAGAATTTTCAAAAAATTATATATTCAAGTCAACTAAGGTATAAATATACTATAACTAATAATACATGGTCCTTATCTGTAACCACTTGACTCAGAAATGCCGGCGACATTAATTGCACGCTTTTATTGACTTTGGGTGATGATATAATCATACCATATTTCTTTAGAGAGGAAAGATAATTTAATTGTTACAAAAGAAATTTGGAGTAAAAACATTTCTCGCATGTTGTTGGCATTCTGGAAAAATACATCAAATTTAAATATATATCTAATATGAAACCTTAACGAAATAATATTAATTTATCTATTTAATAGCATATAGAAATGATTGAATTGTGTCCCTTAGCTAGAGGGTAGTTTGGTATACCATGTGTCCCTTGTGAGGCCAACCCAATAGTAGACGGTTGCTTTTTGTAAGCCAGCAAATTTTTGGGCTTGAAAAACTAAATCTTTCAGTATATGGTAAATTAAAAGAGAAGATGTTGCAAAAGTTATTTTCATTTCAAATAACAAATCTTTAAACTACTAATAAAACACCCAAGAGCCTTAACGGTCACCTGAGTGTCATAGAACTCGGAGGATCCATAAAATGAAACAGGTAGATGAAGCTTTTGTACCCCAAAGCAAAAGAATGTAGGATAACCAGGATCAATGATATAATTAGTCTAATATTAAGTATGAACTCTTTTAATGATCTGTCCCCCATTTATCACTGTTGCCACTCACACTATTAAATAACAATCAGTGCTTCCGCAATATTTTTATCTCCAATATGTGATCTCTTATATTTGGCTCTCTTGATCTTAGAATAACATTGCAATGATTTATTTTTTGTATCATTTTTATTTATCTTATTTACAAGTCTATCTGATCATTAAAACTATGAAACTAGTTTTTGTGCTACACAATTAAAGGGACGAGGTAGTGTAACGGCCGAACGTGACACCTTATTATTTGATGAAAAAAATCAGAACACAGGTACACATGTAAATATGACAGTAATTAGTTAAGGATTTAAAATGATGCTTGCGTTGAAACAAGCACTAATTTGAATTCAAAGGACAAGTAGGACATTTACCCGAATTCCGCATCAAGACTTGCAACTGTTTGCCTATTTGGATAATTACATCAAATTAAACTTTAACAAAATTATATTGTCTACTTTACAATATATATTTATCTCTATTTTTACAGTGAAATAAACAAAACGATAAATCTCTTCTTGTATTTTTTTTAATAGACGCTATATAGATTGAGAAAATAAGTTTGAAGTTCTTGACTAAAAATACGATGTGTTTATCTATGCAAAAACTTAATTGTGTTTTGTCAGGTCATTAAGAATAAATTGATCCGGTTATGAATCAATATGCATTTAATAACAAAAAACTCCATGAAACTCTGTAAAGAACTATATGCGGTATATTACATATATTTGCCCCCACAAAAATCAAATTTTGAAAACTTCCTGAAATGTGCTGAATTCAATAAAATGTATGAGAAATATGAATTAACAGAAAATATTATAGTGTCAAAGCAGTGTATTCACAATTTTTGTTTTTATGACGTCACAAACTAGTCCGATTTTATATCCTTTTTCAGAAAGAGGACAAAATGGACAAAATTACAACAATTTTAGCTTTAAAATTTATAGAGCGCAAGTTTGTTCAGGAACAATATTGACATATTTCATTGATATTATCATTCTACACATTATATCAAAATATTGATCCTGAACACACATGCGCTCGGTGACTTTTACTCAAAATATCGACGAAATATGTACATTTTTCTGTAAAATTCATAAAAAACTGAAATTAACGTCATGTTTGTGACGTCATTACGTACATATGGCGTTATTACTTATGAAAATACTCAGTGCTTTGAAGTCAGCATATACTCCCCTGTTTAAGAACTTAATTAGATATATCTTCATCAAAGTTTGATTTGGGGGGCATATATTGGTTATTACCGAATAAAGTTCTTTATCAAGATAAATAACAACTTCATAATTTAATTAAAGAATTAAGAAATACGTAAAATAAGTACCGTGATAAAATGGTTATTTGACCCTCTGGATTCCTCCTTCTATCTAAGCAAAACTGCTTCACTAATTCTATGAGAGCTGAACACCTCTCTGGTAAAATATCAGTCGCATTCCAATCAAGACATTCAAAAATTTGGATAACGTGACTTTCTTTTTCCTGATTAAAAAGTAATTACATGTATATTCACAAATCATATTCACGTTATTGGTTCATATTGTGTTAATATTGAGAAAAAGAAAAAAACGGAAGGAAAAGTTAAAGCCAATATACTAGTATACCCCTTGATGGAACTGTTTGAATTCTTTACTTAATTTAAATTATAGCACGTGGATTCAAACTTAATTACAAAACATCCAGTAACACGTAACCAGCATACATGTATAATGATATGCAATAAACTTTATGGGAAAAAGGTTTATTATGGGAAATAACGTAATATGAATAGCTATATAATAGAAATATCTAGAAGTAGATTACATAAAAATGGCCAAAACTTTTCATTTTAAAAACATTTTCATGCAAAGCACATCTTCTAGATCTGATTACACATATGTGATAATGTTTATATTTAGCTCTCCCTGTAGATTGTAGATCATATACAATGTATTTATTTTTTGGGTAAAGACATGTGTTTATATTTTATTTCTTTGCAGAGGATACTGGAATACACCCCTTTTTTGTAAAATTCAAAACCATTGCAAATTTAGTAAGCATGTTTTTCAATAACGAATATTAAATAAACTTTGTGAAAGGAAATGGTAGTAGTTTAGTGATAGTATAAAAATAAAACTGCAGTAGAATTTTCTCCAGTTTAATTAACTTGTCAATAACTATGTTTTTATTGTGGAGAGATACAGACTTAACTTATAATAATATTTTCAAAGGAAAAAATTGTTAGTAGATACTTGTTGAAAAACAGTTCCCAGATGTTTATACAAGGTTTTGTAAGTTTTCAAAAGGAGCAAAATAAGTAAAAGTACAGCTATGCACATTTCAAGATCATGTTCTCATTACATTAGAAACTTGCCTGCTTTCTTTGCACTTTGATAATGGTTTTCCGTACACCGTCCGTAAATACTTTTTGCTCAACTTTTGTTATTCCAAATGGCCCTACAATTGTGTTTTTCTCACTGTCATTGAACCAGTTTCTGACCTATGGAAATGAAAAAGTATCAGAGACTTTAAAAAGAGCAAATGACATATGATCATAACACTGTTAGTTTATTGCAAAGAAGGATCATGGTTGCTTTCAAATTATTTTTCTTTTTATGATACCTCAATGATATTCTCAACAGGATTCATCGAAATCAAGAACGGGGATGCTTGATCTATCAATAGGTGAAGAAGGTCAACTCCAGCTCCATTCACTGGATGTTGCGCAGAAATAAACTCCTCTGCACTAGTAAATGACTGAACAAAAAATAAGCAAAAATTCAATTCTCTCTGAATAAATATTGACATGAAACTAAAAAAGCGAGAATTTATTATACAAACCGACAATGATAATGCGTTGTAGTAAGGTTCCCTTCCTCTCAATGATGAAGACAAATAAACGATGAAGCGTTCAACTAAAATTACAATTGATCATGCTTCAATGTTTAGCATGAAAAAGATAAAATATTATTTAATTCAAATGAACTCTTCAAGAGAAAGTAAGTTAATAAAGGTAAACTGTAACAAATCTGTGATGAAGCAGGCGTTCTTTTGTTTTCCCTCTTACACTTAGAAAGATATACGAAGAAATAAGTTGACATCAGGTTTTTCGTATTGTGTTTGTAAAAATTACGACTCTGCTGTCGGTAACATACTTTTTTAAAAGAAATTGGGAAATTGACGTTTATAAAGGGATTATTTACAGTTTTTGGAGACTGCAAATATGCAAAAAAGGATGTCTATAATTCTAATGCTTTGTTTGACTCTACTAAATGTGATCACAAAATTGTCATCTTTAATATGCACGTGTTTTTTGACTTTTTATTATTTTCCCTACATGACTCAATATATTTCAAGGTTGTGTAGTTTTGACCAGCGATTTTTGCATATTATGCTTTCATGTGTCTTTTTTTTCATTCAGTATATTTACAATATCAGTTTACTATTATAACAAATTGCGTTATTATAATGTATTTAATCCAAACGAATTATTTTCCAGTATTAAAAAAAATATTACTCCTTTTTACACATGATACATCTTACAGTTACGCTATTGATATGTAATAAAAGAAATGATAAGACTTTAAAATATAGCGCGTTTGCGCGGTGTGATAATTTATCGGCATTACCAGGTGTGTTATAGGACCGACGACATTGTGCTAAATAGACGTAAAAGACGTTTGCGACTTAGGAAAATTTAAGAATACAAATGAATATCACGATTAAACAAAAATGACAAATTAATTTTAAGCGCACAGTTGCCAAATTTTACATTAATTTAAAAGGGTAGTTGTTTTTATGAACTAGGGTAAAAAAATATATGTTGATTTTCCCAGAGTATTGAAAATGTATACAGTCTCTGCGATGTATTCTGCTGTGCGATGACGAGGTTTCGCGTATGTGTTTAAGTGATTGGAACGTCGTGGATTTCCAATAAATTTCATTAAGAAAATTACACTGAATTTAAATAAATTATAAAAATCGAAATGAGAAGATCTATCCAGATATATGCATCTAGTAGGAAACTTCTTGTGTTTAATCATTCTTTTCTGTGTGTTTGGGGGGGGGGGGGGTTACAGACCCTGAGACGTGCTACTACCCCACACGCTCGCTGCACGAACGGTACACGAACGCTACACGGTTTGCACGAAACGCTGCACGGTTTACACGAAACTCTACACGGTTTGCACGAAACGCTACACGGTTTACACGAAACGCTTTGCACGAAAGGCTGCACGGTTTACACGAAAGGCTGCACGAAACGCTTTGTACACGTTTCTCACACGCTTTGTGCACGATTCTCGCACGATTTGGCCTCTGTTTGGATTTTTCTACTCGGAATATCTCGGGCATTTTAACCGCTTTATCATTAATTCAATGAAAATCGCTCAAAAACCACATTAAGCAGCTGTTTAAATTAAATTACGTACACTTGTATTATAAAAACCGATAGAAATATTCAATACTCTGACAGTTGTAATTAATTGATAAATAATTGTCAGTTCGAATTTATTTATTTATTTATCCAACTGTTTAAAAACGAAATGCCGATATCGTAAATGACTGTTTAATAAAATACAATTTTTATATACAGGTATAAGTCATTCATTTCAATGTAATATTTTTACGAGTATAATTTGATAAATTGATTTAATAAATTGAACACCAATTCGATTTCTCACCGCAGGAATATAAACTCATTGATTTTTAATAATATTGATTATATTGCATGTGTTTGATTTCCGTAGGTGGATTTTTTTTTTATTTTAAATTATAAATTAAATTTGCCTATATACTCTACTAACGATTATTGAAACATTTTTAAAAATTTTTTTTACGCAAGCATTATCAATAGGAGGGAAACCGGTAAAGGGCGTAAAGGGGGGGGGGGGGAGGGGTTAATGTGATCTATTAATCTATTCTATTCTCTTTCTCTTTTTCCATGAAGCTTATCAAATTACATCAGTATACCCATCATACTGTAAAATCCTTCATTTCAAAACAGGACTAAAAGTATGTTTGTATGTGTACATTTATTAATAGTCGCGGCATTTGACTATACATTGTACATACGATATAGATCGATCTTTACACCGGCATTCAGGTATACTACAAGAAAACTGAAATATCTTAGATGAAATAAAAAGTACGTGATTTATTAAACAAATAATATACAATTATTCATGATTTACTCCTAAGCTTTTCTTACATGATATTCATATAAAGACTACCATATCAGTTCTGTTTATTTTACTGTTTACGGCTAGAAATTCGGATTTACAAATAAAAGATGAAATCCGCTGATTTATAAGTTGTACCCATCAAATACTTATAGAACCATTTTATTTAAAAAAAAAATCCAGTCGTAATTTCCAGGTGTCATTAAGCCGTGAACTCAACATGTACATATAGCAAAACAGGTTTTCATTTGCAATGCCCTCGGAGCCCGTGATCGCTGTTGTAAATGACCTTGATCACAGTTGAAAGGCGGAAAGAAGATTCCAATACATTTATAAGGGGTGTATCTGGGCATACATTTAACAACGAATTTAAACAAGAATAGAAAATAAAGCATTTAATTAAACTAACATTAGATTGAAAGCTACAACAAAAAATGAAAGACTGAACTGTCTAGTAATTTAATTTAACACCCCCCCCCCCTCGTTTATAAAGATATGATCGTCAGTGCACGTGAATTAAAATTATAAAATCCACTTTTTTGACAATAATGAGCAACAAGTTTTATGTATTAAAAGATATTAAATGACACATCGTTTCAAATGCAAAGACAAGAGCGGAGTCCTGATATATTTTTGATTTAAATTAAAAAAAAGAATATTACCAGTATTTCTTTCTTTCTTTGAGAAAAAATGTTTAAGAAGCCACGATCGCGTTGATACATGTACTATATTGAATACAATGCCCTTAAAATTGTTGTACATAGCTGATTTATTTGAAATTCTACCACGGTTATTGAAAAACTTCAAAGGAGCCGCCGGACATTATTCTCCAATAGACCACGAACGTCATCAAAAAATTATCAGATCAGAAACACGTATCAAATCTGAACAATTCAAATGCATGTTTGGATGTAGAATGAAATACTTGATTAGACCGCATCGATGTGTCGTCTTTTGCAGTATAAACACTGTAAATTGCATCAAGTTGCTGATGAATGTCGGTTTTTATAACTAAGCGGGGCTATTCCACGGACCTCCCTACACATTAAACAACGTGATTTTAGCAGTAAAACAAGAACATGATTTTGTTTTTGTATATTCATTTTAACTGATCAATACATATAACGAACAAATTTGTAATTAAACAAGACTGTTTTTAATGCACGGAAAGCTCAAATATCTGCATTCCATATATAGGTAAGTCAACAAAATTTCTCTTTGGTGTTAAATAGAACAGCGTAATCGAGACATGGTGACCTAATTCGTTTCTCTATAGAGGAAACAATCGGCCGTATTTATCGTCCGTGGTAGAATAGAAATAAAGTCCTTGTTGTCGTGAATGATGCAGAATAACCTCCTCGGTCTCGAAATGTTGTTTGAAATATAAAAGCATATTTCACAACATTTCTCGACCTCGGAGGATATTCTTCAACATTCAAGAAAACGCGGACTTTATTTCTTAAACATTTTCTATAGAAGGAAAAAAAATAAAACAAATATAAATCATACATTACCGTTTAATTTAATTTTGTTGTTCCATTTTTTTTTTTTGTTTTTACTCCTATAATATCACAAGCATAACTAATTCAATTATAAAATACTAATAGAATTTTACATCCTGACCCATCGATAGCCATATTTAAAATGAAACAAGAAAACATTGATGTAACCATCAATTGTCGCCCGGGAAATATATAAAGTAAACAAGCAGAGCTTTTCAAAAAAGCTTACCGTCTTTAGCAACAATTTTAAACAGTAAACAGATCTATACTTAACAGGCTGTATAATTCTTTTGAATTTCTTGATGTTTATTTCTAAATTAGCTTTTTACGGGCATTAGCCCTACCATGGTTGTCGCTCGGTCATCTCCGTAAACTTTGACTGACCGAGAGCTTTCGGCAAACCTCGGCTGATTCCCATTCACTCTTCAAACAAGAAAGGGGAAAAGAATAATAACAAATTGTAAAGCCTGCAAGCAATAACTATCAAATTTTATTTATAATGAAATTAAAGAGACCTTTTTATTTATTGCTTTAAAAAATATCATGTTATTATACAAATATGGACTCAATGTAGGTCAATATGCATTTATAATGACCCAGGATGACAGATATTGACCGAAGATACATGGTTGATATCGACCGAGGGCGCTACCCCGAGGTCGATATACTCCATGTTTCTGAGGTCAATATCTGTCATCCTGGGTCATTATAAATGCATATTGAACTACATTGAGTCCATATTTATTATATTATATAAATAATAATTTCCCAATTTTATTGGTACAATGCCTTCCTAATGTTTACAGAGATAGTATGAACCAGAAATAAGTTGGATGTAAATGTTTAAGAATTTATCATGTTTATTGAATATTACTCACAGGAAATTGTTTCCGTAATAAATTTTAACCCATAACATATTAATAACGCAAGGTATCTATCTCCGAATAACACAGAGTACCCCCTCCCCCAGATTGAGAATCGCACTCCTAAACACTTGCAAAGGAAATGCACTGACAAAATATTAATACCTATGTCTTCTACGATAATTTATTTATAGCGAGCGCAGCGAGCGTCGCGAAGCGACGCTCGTCACTGCGAGCTCTTAAGGGGGATGTACGGCCACCTTTAGTGCAGTGAGGATGAAATGTAAACATTTCTTCTAATAGCTAAAATACAATATATTTTGATCAAATTTTAAGTCTTTATGATAAAGATACAATAAATATGCATAACTGAATGCATGTTGTGCATATATAATCTATACTTTTGCAGAAAAATGCTTTTGATATGCTCCTTAGAACTGCGCAGCTACAGAATTCAGCAAAGCCTTAAAAAATCCAAAAAAATACGCAAACTGTGCATTAATGTTCTCTCTACAACCATTTGTTGAGAAAATGTCAAAATTTTGCACTTTTAAATGATAATTTCAAGTTCAAAACAAGGTATCGTTGTCTTCAAAAAGAGTGTAAAGAACCATGAAAGTAGTTCATGATAGCAGCACGTGGTCTATTTTTAGTACAGAATTTTGTTTTCCAGACCTCTTCTTAATATGGAGGGACAAAACAATCTTTAAATGTAGAAGAGAATTACAGTTGCAAAATATTTCAAATAATATGAATACTTTTAAAAGAGGAAATGTGTTATAGTGTTTCTTGAAGTTATTTATTATTTAGTATTATTATTGTACAGTTGTTAAACAGTGTACGTATTGATATAAAAAAAAATCTTAAACTCTTTGATTCCAGGTAAGGAAAAATGAGCACCATCAAAGTTAAAAATTAAAAGTTTGTAAGTTTGCCACAGATATATAATATATATCAAAAGTTTAATTATCACCATTGAAACACAAAGAAATTAAACACATAAAATCGATATGAATGACCTTGTTTTAGTACCTACTAGTACGAGGGGTGATCAAAAAGTTCGCGAACTATCTCGATGCATGTGTATCTATAAAAAAAAATCAGATTAGAAACAAATTTGGTGCACACATAGCCAAACACAAGTTCTGTAAATAGCATATGCTGAATAAAGTTTTGCTCACAATGTGAAAATTACGTCATTATGCAGCTACTTGTGACGAAAAATGGTTGTCTCAGTGGAACTCGTTCAACAAACGACTAAAATATTTATGGTATATCTTAAAAATGCCTTTGAAGTAGCGTATAAGAATTTGTTCACAATATATTAAGACAAATGACTTCCTATAAATTCAATCAATGATTGGATAGATCGTTTTAGTGAGGGAAGGCAGATGGTTAATATGATACTTATGCTGCCCGGTGAAAGCAAGTTTGAAAAGGGATGTGTTTTTAATTAAGCAAAATGCTATCAAAGACCTCCAATTTACACTTTGAAAAATACTTGAATATTTCAACAATAATATAACTATCAAATACCTAAGATATCGTTTACTTTTTGATCACCCCTCGTATACTCTGTCAAATAATCATTCACAATTTTCATTACAGCGGAGCAACATTTGAAAAGGAATGAAATAATTCAGAGTGGGTTAGGAGATTTAATGAATAAAAAAAATTTCTTCTATTTGCCCTTTTTGTCAAAATTACAATTTTACAGAGTATTAAAGAAAAAAATCAACATAATTAAATATTTTATACCATCTTTAAAATGACGTTTGGTGGTCCTCTCAACTCAAGGAAAAATTATTGGGTCCGTATTTATAGGTGAGGAAAAAAAAATCCTAAACATTTAAACATTTTTGTTGATGAAAGAAAAAAAATCGTGTAATGAGATGTAAAAAAAAAATTGAGTCGGGCCATTTCTAGGCAATAGAGAGGGCAACCAAATATTTTTATAACAAATGGTCTTATAAGGCTAGTACATGTTCCATCACATATTTAGTAATGCCAAATTTTTTAATCTTTAGCACTATTTTGAAAAACAAACGTAGAATTTTCGGGGGGGGGGGTAGCCTCTCATTTTTTTTTTTTTTGCGATGATAGACATTGCATATGCAATGGACCTTTCTTTGCAAACACTGTGCTTGCTTCTAAATTTTCAAAGAAACGACTCAATATATTTTATCAAGCTTCGTATGTTCAATTAGCGAGAGCTTACAACGTTGTCAACATAAGGAGACATGATGCGTTTTTATGTCCAAACATTACTCCATACAATGTATGGTTCATTGCAAACAATCTAGCTATTTATGTGAGGTGCCTGAAGGAAATCCTCTAACTGCCTATTTTTTCTATCTAACTGCTAAATAAAATAGACGTATGTACCAACTTTTCGAATGTAAGAGATGTAATTACAATTTGTTTTTCATGCACCGCATGTTGTTTAACATTTTCAAATTAAATGCTTAGCATCCTCCTTGCAGTGCCCCATTTGAAAATAACTTCTATCGCCACAGAAAAAAGACCCGCCGTAAACACATATGTTGAGGACATATTTTATCTTTTTTCTTGAGTTTTAAAAAAACCAACAAATTATAAAGACTTCTTCCATGAAAAATTAAATATAATCATGGTAATAAACGCATCTAACTACAGCAGATATATGCACATGCCAACCACGTGCTCAGTGGAATGATATTATCGAGGAAATTCGAGCTGTAAACAGAACAGTTTTTCCCGATTTGCTGGAGTGGGGTTAAAATCGCATTTTTTCATTAATCAAATGATGCGATGCAACAAATAAAAGTAGTAAGTAATATAACCTAATGATTATTACTTAGTTATTTCTTGTCTTGATGTTATTATGGTCGTATTTATTCTAAAATCAATGTTATTCGAACTCTGTGTGACAGAGGAATGGCGGACGAAATAAAGACATGGCCTCAGGAAGATACCCATATGAAAAATCAAATTTTCAAGAATTATTGATAATGACAAGAAAAAAGCGAAACAAATGGTTGTAGCCATATTATCAATGAATCAAACTGACACCATTTTCAATGCATTTTTCATCTCGTGAATGCTGTAGCTGCGCAGTTCTAACATGATTAATTTCGTCCTAATTAAAACAAAATAAACTTACTTATTTACTAATTTTGGTCTCTAACAGTAGGTAATTAGTGCATTAGCACTTTTAGTAACTTTGGGCTAGTTTAGTAGAGTATTAAGCACATTCTTGGTATTTCTTATTTTACACCAGACTAGATCTAATATGGCTTGTACATCCCCCTTAAAGCAACGCCTGTGCGAAGAGAAAATTCAGACTACTGCACATTCATTCGATAGAATTTTTTGATGCCGTACATTTGGACCCACAATGCATCACTTGTTTAAGCTACGTTAAAGCTACGTTCTCGTGAGAATAGTAGCAAAAGCGCTACTAAAAGTAAACATGCCCTGATTTAATTGATAAATATTGAAGATAAATAGCAAACAAAACGTTCTTCATTTATTTTCAGCACTGTTCAGGGTTCTTTGGGGGAAATGTAACTTACATACGACGTCATGTGACGTCAGAGTCTAGAGGCATGAAATGTCACGTGCAGTTTGACATGCGAGCCCGATTTAAATTCTAACGAGAAATAAACATCTGCGCTCGCCATAACGTTCACACCGTCAACATATTACAATCATACACTTGGCATGCTTGTCTTTATTTCAATCTTTAGTCTCCGTAATCGCGTAAACAGCGTCCGAAAACTCTGCTCGCCGAGTGGAAAAGTCGAATTCAACCATGAAATGGTATGTGCTTAGTATTCACGAAAAACATTAACAGATATCCTTGTAATTGTTTTGTATTCTCGGCCACAGAGTTCTTAACTATATCTTTTAAATTTTCCTCACCTACAACTTACAAACTTGCGACCTTCCATGTTTGTCTAAAGCGAAAGTGAAAACGAGGCAGCTCGTGCAAGTCATTATTCGCTTTCAGCGGTCGCTACTACAAAATAATTACTTTTATTGACCAATCAGAATTCTGGATTTCACAAAGTTATATAATATTAAGAAATAATTACTGATGATTTTGTTGTTCGTTTTGTCATTTTTTTTAAAATTGGAAATCTTGCAAAATTGTTAAGTAGTACGAAAAATAGATCATCAGAAAGTTATCTCCCTTGCCTTGAACAGCATTTCAACCAATGAAATAATTGAAAAGTTTCTCATCATGCAATTTCTACCAATCACAAAAGAGAGGAAGTGCATAGTCCGAAGACTGTAAAAAACTTCAACTATACAATACTGTCTTCCAAGGAAGACGGTAACAATGAAAATGAGTTTTGATCATCAAACCGCTTCGATGTGTATGAAAAGGCATGCGTCTAATTGATGGAGACGATAGTCGCGAATATTTTGAAAACTTGTAGTCGGATAAAAATCAATCAAAACGATATCATTTAAACTTGATCAATTCCTCAAGTAAATATTGGCTGCATAAAATATAAATTGAAGTTGGACACACGCATCACCTATATTTAAAAATGTATTAATTTTCAATTTTAGCATATAAAACACGACCTGTGCAGAGTACGTTTTTATCCGAGAAGTAAAACTCGATGTTCTAAAAAAAAGGGGGGACCTGTCGTTTTTTCGATAGTAAATGATAAGCAACTTTATATATGAAATATGAAAAACGTATATATTTTTACAGATTCACTTTATGGAAGTAAATATATTATGTATCTCGTAATTTATAAACAGAAAGAACATTCTGATTAACAATCTTTTCAATGTTTAGAAAACCTTTAATTCTAAATAACTACTCCCACTCCAATCCCCATACACCAACACTTAAACTTATATGTATAGAGCAGCCCGGTCCTCCGGGCTGCAATGACTTCCGAATGAATCTTACACGATTCTTGCACGAAAGTCGCACGTTTCTCACACGGTTCTTACAAGAAAGTCGCACGTTTCTCACACGCTTTTCGCACGCTCGCTACACGGTTTGCACGAAACGCTTTGGAGCTTACACGAAACGCTGCACGGTTTACACGAAACGCTACACGGTTTGCACGAAACGGAAAGCGCACGAAAGCCACACGCTTTTTTGGGGAAGTAGCACGTCTCAGGGTCTGTATTAGAGGATATGTTTTCTGAAAAATGTCAGCAAATATAGAGTTTCACTGACAAGCAAACAAGTAGACAAAAGATTGAGAAATTACAATAGCATGTCCTCGATCGTAAGAGATAAATATACACTAATAGAACAAATCTGAACTCTAATTATCTTAAGTTTTGAAATGAGGGTATATCGGGAGGTTTTACCGGGCAAAACCGTTTTTACAGCGTTCATATTCAGATACTTCTTTCCACTTCTGTAGTCACTGGCGTCATATTTTGGTTTCAGCTTAGTTAAATCCTTGAAAAAGAGATGATGTAAATTTCTCAGAAATATTATAAATACTTTATCAAATCCAATTTTCTAGATAATAGAAAACCAAAGAAAAAATATAAGCAGGAAAATATTTCAAAATAGTTACGTTAAATTCATCGGTTATTTGTTTTCTCGTCTCTCGTTTATCAGTTTGTGAAAATTTCCTTGCGAAATCAAGTCGCCGAATGAACATACTTTTCCTCCTGAAGGTCTGGTAAAGTGCATGATACAGAAAAATATATTGATCCTGCAAAAATAATAAACAAAACTTAACAACAGTTACATATATTCTGCCTTCGTGAATGTTAAATTATGTTTAAAGAGAATTATGACAAATTAAACTCACAATGTTCTGAATCATGGACATTCTGTTTTTCCTCATTGCCCTGACAAATTCTATGACATTCACCTTTCCCGTCTTTCTACCATATTTGTCTAATGCATCGAGAGCAATAAAGGTGCCTGTTCTACCAACACCTGCACTTTGATTTGCAAACATAATTAAAACATTAATGACTTTATATTAAACATTTCCTGAACAGTGCTATAGGTAAGTTGCTACTTGAATAATATATTCCAAGCTTTTGTTATTAAACAAATTTTCAAAACGAATTAAAGGTCAGGTTAGAGTATGAAAAATAAGTAAATTGTTGATTATGATATTTTGAAGCATTTCAGTGTATTCAGGAGAGTTTAAAGAGGTCGGATTCTATTCCCACGTGGTGATAAAACGTTTATATTTTAATTATTGGCTTTAATTTTGAAGAAAAAAAAACTAATATATAAGTCAAGCCAACGTATAAATATTAATTTAAATTCAAATTGCTTAATTTGACAATACACTCAAAATTACAAAACACAAATCTCTTTGACGATACACACCTGTAGCACTAAAATGCAGTGAATCTATGATTAGAATCAAATTAAATAAGATTCTCATTATGGTGGAATTAATAACAAATTTAATAACAATCAAATTCGGGGATTTCAAAATATACCTGCAATGGACAAGGACAGGATTGTTTGAGTTGAAGGAATAATGTTTAAAATGTTCATGGAAAATAGTAAGGTTCAAAGGATTGGGAGTTCCATGGTCAGGCCATCTGGTGTAGTGAAACTGAACAACTGTCCGTGATTTCGTTACCTAAAATAAAATGGAAAAAGTTTTATTTTCTTGAACATACTTAAAAAAATATTGTGAATTTTATTTCTTCAAAGAAATGATATTTATTTTGTAATTGGCGTGTACGATACTTGGTGGAAACTAATTTTTCAGCATGTTAGCACAGCTTCAGAATATGCTTCATTTGAAAATATAAACACAAGACATATAACGATAAACTCGATTTTTATTTGAAGATGTTGTCTAGAAATTCGCTAAATTGAATAAATAGCTGAATGTAATACATGTATATGATATTAAGCAATGGATTTACATGTGGAATAATACCTAATTAAGACAGTCGAACACATAATCTATAAATGACTGTAATTCTGTATTTCAAGAAAATGGTCACTTATACGTACGTCTCTTTTCTCGAGTGACATTGTTCTTTTTATAAAGTAGGCGTATTTTTTCTCTTCTATCAAATGTATTGTAAATGATCCAATCTCTAATTTGTCATTTTCATCCGGCCAGTATTGGTGACATTTAACCTATAGATTGAAAAAATAATGAAAGAAAACTTTAGAATGTGTATATATCCCATTTTAAAAACATGGTCCTTACATGTACATCGTTTGTCAAAAAGAATTATTGAAAGATGACTAGCTCGATCATAATTTCGGTCTTCTTTCTTAATTACACTGGAAAAACAGAGTCCATATTGTTTAGTATAATGTCTAAGAAACACCAAATATTAATTCAAAGTAAAGTTTTTTGAAAATGTGTTGTTTACAAAATGAGTTAATTTGTAAGCTTTTGATTTTATCATCATGAATAATCTATATTTGATTCATTAACTTCATTCGTAAATTGATAATGATAAATAATGGCGAAAAAGAATGAAAAAAACGAATTTAAACAAGAGGTCCATGGGCCACATCACTGGCCCCATGGTGCCGGAGAAGGAAATAAAAAAAAAATGCCATTAATTTTTCATTTTCACCTCATGTTCTTAATCAACTTTCCTAAGAGAAGGGCTTGGCCCTCAATTGAACAAACTTGAATTCCCTTCCTTCAAGGATACTGTGTGGCAAGTTTGTTTGAAAATGGCACAGTGGTTTTTGAGAAGAAGATGAAAATATGAAAATTTATGACGACGACAACAACAACGACGACGACGACAGACAACGGACAAATTTTGATCAGAAAAGTTCACATGAGCCTTCGGCTTAGGTGAGCTAAAAACTACAAACACAACCGTTTTGGACAAACAAGAATTCAAGAATAGTTACGTAAAACAAATAAGTATAACCAAAATGTTTCATTACCTTGCGACCCTCTATAAGATTTGTCAACATTACAATGTAATCCACTTTCTCTTGCCAAATCATCCTCCACTGGTCAATCAAAATCTTTTCTTTCGGTCTTAAAAATAAAAAATGACACTTTGTTTGAATAATGATACAAAATACTTTAAAACTTTTGTAAAAACCCAAATCTTTGATTTATTTTCATTCCAAAAAAATTAACTTGATCTACCATACCAACAAGAATCCATATTTGTAAAGTCAGAGAAAAAAATTGTATTTTTTATTGTTTGGTGTGAGCTTTGATTCAATGATGAATTAAAACACATAAATTTGCTACTGAAAGGCAGTTTTGAAAAGTAATGAAATATATTCAGAGGGTATATGTAGAGAAATATTCTACCTTTCATTAAAGTTTTAGCATTTTTACTTGAATAGTCTTTAATAGATAAAAAGAAATCTTTAATAAAATCAGACCTTGAGAAGCAATATATGCCCTTGTACCTTCCATATTCTGAAATGATGAAAAGTTTGAATATATTAAGGAAAATTTGAATTTCAGAAAAAAGGAGAAATTGTATGAAAGGAAACACATTATATGTATTGTTTGATGCCATTTTCATTATAGTCCCTCTTGTACTTTGCTATTGTAAACTAACCTCTACGTAATTTGCATTTATGTAATCGGAACTGAATTCGTCATCAATTTGTAGCACCACTCTCGAGTGATTATCTAGTTAAAGTAAAACATACAATTATATACATCAAAATACGTATCAATTTTTTATAAAGTTTTTCACTAAATGTTGTCCGCCCGAAACCCTTTTATCCACTTATTTTAAAAAATCCAGTATTTCAGATTTTATGTTACTATTATGCATCTAGGACTTACAATTAACATAAATCTATTTTCTATACCTAACAGACACTCCATTATTGAGTTACTGATTTTGCTCATATTTTTACCGTTTACCACGGATATTTCTTATTATTTAATTGCCCTAGCTATATAAAATCGGAGGATTGTACATACATGGAAAAGTTGTTTTGAATCTGTTTCTTGGAATGTTTTCTTCTAATTTCGCTGTGGTACAGTCAAACCTCTCCCCATATGGTTGTTCCTTGAATAAATTTGTTACAGCTCATTCATTTATGAAAGCATGATCTGTAAACACTCCTACTGTTTGTGTTTGAATATTGAACGACATAGTTTCAATAATTAATAGATTTCATTTAACTAAACATAGTATCGTTTACCTTAATTTTATATACTGAAGCTATTTTTATACAAATTTCCACAAATGACACTTTATTTAAAATAAACAAAAGAAAATCGCTATGAATTGAACATTTTAAAATGAAATCCTGTAATGAAAATATTTACACAGAAAAGTCTTTAAGCAAAAAATGTATTTATATTATTTGAGGTACAGCTCATTTTCTTTTTATGCGGTAAGTCATGAATGAATATGATTAATTAAAGTTGTTCTGAATTATTAAGGAGCAATCATCATGTAAAGCAAATTTTGGTTTTCTTATGTATTTCATTCAAGAAGTATCTTTTTTGTTCACAAATCACATACTTATTACATACATCCCGACAACATTTGGAACATCGATTGCGTTTGCTTTTAAAGCAAGTGTACATGTTCAAGTTTTTTAAAGGATAGCTCAACGTTCAAACTACCAAAGCACAAAAGTGCAATGTTTACGTTCGAAAACAAATTCCTATAAATTATTGTACTTTAACTTTTGGCTACTAGAGAGCTTACTCTTCTTATGAGTCTTTTATTTTAAAATTTTAAAGGCCTCTGAAATTTCTGTATATTTTGTATATGTTTTGTATATTTTACTTTGCTTTTAAAATGAGTCAAATTTTAAAACAAAGTATATATACATAAGAATGTAGAGGCTTGTGCGAGGTAAGATTACCTGTAAAACAACAAAGAAAAATTGCGAGCGGGAAAATAAAAAAAATATATTGAATACAGAGGTTGTTGACGCATGTTTTTAGCTTCTTATTGAGAAACACATGGAAAAATTGCGCAAATGCCTACGTATTGTTTAGACATGCATTTTAAACAATTTCAATAGTGTTTTTATTCCAACAGTTGTTACATGTACAACATCCCCTTCGAAACAAGATCTGAATCAGAAAAACAGTTTAACTATTATTTTTATAATTCGTCAATCAATTATATAATTATTTAGTACAATATAATCAATGATGATATTTTTGGAGGAAGACAATGATCTTTAAAAGCCTATTCCTCGGAGTAATTACTAATAATCTATATGTGAGTTGTGTGAGTAATACCTTAAATTCCTTGGTAAAACCAGCATTTTCTTTCTGTTCTTTTTCTTCTATGACCAACAACAAATCTTTGACATCTATATTATTGGCTGCTGATAAATTGTTATAGTAGACAGCTTCTGCTGGGTCCTCCCTTATTGGCTCTTCTTCTGGGTCTTCAATTATTACGGAGAAAGGTATAGGACTTTGTTGTTGAAGGGTTACATCTTTAAAAATAGAATTCATTATCTAATTGCAATTTCTGATATTCACAGAGAGGGAAAATGCAGCTGGTTTCTTAAATGTCGATGCCAAGGGCAAAATAGAAGAAAATACCAAATTTCTATCTAAACAAGTATTTTATTATTTTGAAAGATATACATAATAACATAACAAAACAAAGAAATGGGTTTTGTGCATGTATCATTTATATAACTTTCATCTAAAACAAAAAAAAAATCAAATTGTTTTGCTTATACGTTTGAAATATTGATGAGATTTCACATTTAGAAGTACATGTATATATTTCTTAATTACCATCTTTTTATTTTCCTCTTATGTTTTATATATAAGTTAATTGTCAAAAGATATTTAGATATCCTTTTAAGATTTCATATTATTGCTAGTGTATTGTATGCTCAGGAAAAAGATTAACCTTCATGTTGGTCTTGATTGTTTTTTCCTCCAATATGTCGCTTCCTAGTAATGTATAAAATATTTCTAATAATTAACGAATTAATTTGTTTCTGTTATTAACATCTCTTAACTAAACACGACTATTAAAAAGAAAGTTATATATGTTTCTGAATATTTTATCTCCATTTGTCTTTATTTCAAGAACCCTGTTATAATATTTCATTGGGTCACAATTCAATTCAAAAATGATTTTTTTTTCAATGAAAATAACATAGACGTATCATGTATTGCTACTCTTACAAGTAAAGCACGGTAGAAACAAAAATATTAAATACCCCAGTCATATCAGGAAAAGAATTTCCAAATATGCCTAATCTATATCAGCAATATTCAAAGAAACACAGTTAAATAAAAGGAAACAAATAACAAATCCATTGTTAGATAAAAAAATTTATGTCCCTCCAGGTAGCAGCAGCATGACAAATATTGTGTTTACCCTGGTACTCATTTGAAAATAAGGAAAACTAATATGGAACACTGCTATTACTAGTCGTCTTCAACTAGGAAGAGTAATATTTAGACAAGCAAAAAATGTATTAAAAAGTGTTAATGTTCTGTAAATATATACTTTATTCTTTAACACGTAGTTCTTCATGCCTTACGTAAACAAAAGCTATGATGAATACAGCAAGCAACACCAAAATACCAACCCCTAACCCGATATACAGAATAGATTCGGAGGTTGATTCTTTTGTGTCATCTTTTAGGTTGTTTATTTCTGCAAAAGAAAGTCTAGTAAAGTCTTGTTATTCAAAAATAACAGACTCCATAAACATTATATTGTCTGCATTCATATTCTCTGTAAAATGGAACAAAATCGAAAATAAATTCTACAATTTTAAATTCAGAACTGTAACATCGATTCATTTAAAATTTATGGCTTAACATTTTGCTTCGTATAAAGGAAATCAGTTTATGAAGATAGGCTGTTCTCATTGAAAGCGACAACATATGATGACGTTACTTAACGTCATGGAACAGCAGATATCGATGCAGTTTTGTGTTGTACTAGAGGAAACTCCTGAATAAGTTCTAAAAAGGAATAAAAAAAAAGAAACGTGTCAAAATGAAGTCGTGCATGTGTATATAAATGGTACAAGCGGTATTTGAGTGAAAAAGGCTGTATCGGACGAAGAAAATCAGTAATGAAACGGTTAATCAGGTAGAATCTAAACAAAAATGCTGAAAAGTTCAACCTCAAGGAAAGACATAGGCGGTTCAGAGTTGCTTATCCTATGCAAGCAGTGTTTAGTAATAAAAGAAATCAAAACATTAACAAAGGAAATTATACAACGAGAATAAATACTAAAACATAAATGTCAAGTGATAGAAAAGGTTTTTTATGAGTAGATATTGGAAATATAATGTGTGAAACGTAGAGGGATAGTATTTTTTTTTAGAAATACTTGACACTATGTTTAGACGTTACATTGCCGTTAGAGTTTGGGCCAAAAACTTATATAATTATTACCTTCCGAATGTCATTTGTCAATTTATAAATTTTCCCCATTTTTTTATCGAATATTTTAAAAAAAATCTTAATGATACATGTAAGAACTCTGAATTATGTATAGCCTCAGGTTATTTTTGTTGCCCTAATTCTTTTGGTTATAAAATTATATATGGGGTCAATAATAAAATTATTGAGAGATATTGTCTTGAATGGTTTTTGTTCATATTTTTGAATTTCTTCATTTCATAGCATTCAAATATTTGAAATAATTTATGAACTTTAACAGATATAAAATTTGCAAAATGATGTTAAAAAATCCATGTAACTTTTAAATTGTTATTATTATTGCAAGAAATTAAAAAAAAAATGACAAAAATTAAAAATTAAGTCCGAAATATCCTCTGCATAATGTCTTCGAATAATAGAATATTAATTTTTTAAATTGATATTGAATTAAAACTTTGCTATTTAATCCATTTAGAACAATTTTTAATTTAACATACTATAGTTTATAAAATCTCCTTTCTGTTTTCCTAAACCTGATTAAACGTCATCCTAAAGGTTTACTATGAGAAATCAGCAGCATATATTTTACCAAAATGATGTCATGTCGACAAGTTCCTTGTCATCAGTGATATTTGTATAGCCTGTCGTGTGGAATTTAACTAGCAACTATTTTCAAATCAATGATCAGTTTCGTGTGTTATCGTTTACTATGCTACATGTAACACAGTTTAAAGTTCCAAATTATTTCATTTTCTGGAATTATGAGAAATATCTATATCTGTGTTATGTCAACGTATATTTCATGTATTAATTAGGCTGCAACCCCCTTTTTGCAGCCTTAACAACATGTTTTGATGTCATTGAAATCAAAACCACTAAATATAATTCTGTATCCAAGAGAAATTAGATTATATTGTAACGACACCGGATAAGCGCACTGGTGTATGACAATTAAGTTGAAATTAATTTTTGTCTCTCTCTACTTCCGAATTAAAGACGATACTGAAATAAAGACAAGTCTTGTAAAGTTAACAAATAAACGGTTTATTTTTAACACATATTTTATTTCTATAAAACAATAATTCCAAAAAAATGATAAATTCAAATAAATGCTTGAAACCTACGTATTTTGTACTTGTTCATATATTGGGACTGGTAAATTTAACCAGTAATTAAAATTACAACGGATAAAATATCTGTAAAGTGACTGTAGTAATTTCAGACTGTTAGATCACGGTAAACAGCTGAGCAGATAGCTGTAAATAAACCTACTTATTTATAACAAACCATGACCAACTCCATCTCAATATTCTAAAGTCTTAATCCCGAAATAAATGTACTTAAATTAGCAAACAAAAATAACACACCTTTCTAGAACTCACAAACAGTCGAAATCCGTGTTGTCTGCTTTATCTCGTCGTTATATACGTAGTAAAATGACATCATGAAACGCGACAAATGAAAAGCGTCGCGTAAATTACACCAACCAATGAAAAACATAACGGGATGCTCTAGTTCCCACATCAAATTCTCACACTTACGAGAAAATAATAAAAATAGAAATAACATTTATTTCCTAAGTCAACTTACTTCTAGTATCAATAAAAGTCTATACAAGAAATTACAATAAATAAACAATAAATTATAATCAAAAAATAGCGCTCGTTAAACTTCGTAAACTAATACCGAATTGCATTCTGGGAGTCGGCCATTACTAAAAGAATCGACAACATGTGGTCCTAACAATAAAGCAAAAATACGTATAAATAGTGGATTACAGGTAATTATTATAAATAATAGCTCAGTAAACAAATTATTTAACACATCTTTTATACTCGTAACAACAAAACATGCATCATAAACAAACAGCGCAAATCAAACTTTCGGGGGCGATGTCAAAAGCGAAAATTATGTACACTTACATTCTAGTATAAGTATCAACAATAAATACATCGTAGGCCTATTCTTACAATATATCAATTTCTATTGAAAAAAAGAAGTTCTATGAAAAGGGGAATTTTGAAAGAAGTTCATTGATTTTTTTTTATTTTGAAACCATGGTAATTCCTCACGTCAGAATCAATATTAGAAGTAGTGGTTTTAACAAGCTTTACAGAAAGTTATATATTTTGTTTCTACGGAGACACCTTCATCTTTATCAAACCATTAGACCTTTGAACAAAATATATCTCAAGACTATATTTTCCAACTCTCTAAAAAGTGTCGTAGCGAAGTAATTTAGAAAAAAAATCTAATAATTCTATTGAAAAAGCATATATTGGGAATCATCCTTCAGAAATATCTTACTAAACCAAAAAAAAAAATACAGATTGATCAATTTTTGCTCTTAGTCGTAAGATTTTTTATGTGAAAAGGGCTGCAGATCCTTAGAATACATTTCATACACTGATCTACTTCTGTACCAATGAAGTTATATCTAAATTTGAATTAAACGTGAAGGAGGAGTAGCAATTTGAAAATAAAATAAATCTTTATAAATTGAATGATAGGTTCTTGCTCTTGCCAAAACTACCTGATTGAATATGATTTCACATTGAGATTATTAATATCTCAAAATATGAAAGTTAGCTGAAGCTTACCTACAAATGCCTTATGAAACACCACGCAATTTAATGTGATAGATGGAAAATATTATAATTTTATTCATAAAAAATTAAATACAGATAATGCTAAAATAAAAACAATTACCAGTTAAATACATATTTCCTAAATATCCAGGGCTGCATCTCGACAAACAAGTCCCGTTTTCTGGGTGGCAGAGACCACATTCAGCACAATAACTGCTACACACCGATGTACATTTAATCCATAGTATTTGGGTAAACAGGCTAGGAACACATGATGTTTGTTTTAATATTTTGAAAAAAAAAATTCAGCCATTTGCTCAAGTTAAGATTATTATCAGAGGGTTTATGAACCTTGAAAGTTTAAAATGACTCTCCCATATTATTTTACATTTTGAATCTAGTTATAATAAGAGTGGACTATCGTTGAGTTTTATTAGTAGAATTGTGCCATTAACAGTATCCTAGCTTCATTTAATGAAAGACGAGTCTCATGTTCTTTAGTTTCTTTTTCAAATTTTTGCTCGATATATTATTAACATGCATTGCATGCATACACAGAAGAATTTCAAAACTATTTCTAGGATGGTAAAAAGATAAATAAACTTCATAAAAACTTACGTCTATCACATCTTAGGGGTTGTAAACCAACAGCTGAACAAGCTTGAATACAATCGCCATGAATATGATTACATCCGGCTGCACAATTGTGGTTGCATTGATTTAGACATTTTTTACCATAAGATCCCTCAGGGCATGCTTGAAAAAAAAAAAGAAGAGACATATGCAATGTTATACATACATAATTCACGTCCATGATATTGGATATACTCGTACGTGTATAATTGATATGCATGACACACAAAAATAAACTCTAACGAAACACCGGATTCATTTACCCTTCGATGGTTTGCTTTTCGTCTTCTACCAGACTTATATTATATATCTATATGTTAATACTACACTCGATCGATTGGTCAATTCGATATACAAATTTCAGTGCTCTGATGAAAGTCATCTTAATTGTTAATTCTATTTTGTCTCTATACTGCTGAACCTTGTCAATTTCTGTCCTGGATTAACAAGGGGCAAGTCTTAAGTCTTTAGGGCAGTCAGAATAATGCAGCGTCCGTCTACTTAACAGAATTTAAAGAATAACATTCAGCTTTTTTCTAATTCGTATTTGTTTATATGAAAGTTGTAATAAACTACTTAATTAAACACTTTCAACAAAAAACGCATTCGCATTTAAAAAATGCATATAATTAAGCAATAAATGTATTATACAGACTAGAGCATGAACCAAGCTATAATTAGCACGTAAGTAAAAACATTCTGTATGTTATGTCATGTATCATAACAGTACTCTCAATATTATGGATATAGGGGCAATGACAAAACATCCGCTAACGCTTCTGATTTAAAAGAAAACATCAAACGTACATGACGTACATGAAAATCTTAAATTCAGTTCTTCAATTGAATTTTCCAGAGTTTACATTTACATGTACATATAGAGCTATATTTAATACAATCGAGTACATATGACTATATTTCACTTATTATATCTCAAACTGCAATAAATACATAGCGATTTGGGCAAAGTGGATCACTTTATATGTTTATTCTTCACTTTTTAGATTGTTTCACTTACGGTTGTCACATCGCGACCCTGTCCATCCGTTTTTGCAGCCACCATCACACTCTCCATTACGACTACAAGTGATGTTGACACAATTCTTACTACAAGAATCAAAACATTTTTCGCCAAACTTTCCTGATTCGCAATCTAATAAGAAAATAACAGTAAAACGTGTGGATACACTTTATATCTAGATTTGCCACTAAAATAAAATAAATTAATATTAATACTTTATCTAATTGTTTCATGTATATTTAAACCATTCAGTACAATTTTAAAACAGTGTTTCACCTTGCAGAAGAGGCCCTTATAACCTGGAGCGCAGGATATACAGTGTCCATCTGTCTGTGTACAACTGTTCCCAAGGCAAGATATGCTACAGTTATGCATGCAGTTATGGGCAAAATATCCTTTTTTGCAAGTACCACAAAGACTGTTGTCTCTATTACAACTAACATTACATCTTTCACAAGAATGTTCACAGAAATCGCCATATCGGTTGTGTATACATGAAAGATAAATCCCGGTAGTAGGATTGCACAGTTTGTTTTCACAGAGATCTGAGCATGATTTAATGCAGTTTTCACCATAAGTAGTAGCTCCACAACCTGTTTGCAAAATTAAATATTTACATTCGCTGTGTTTTTCTAGTAAGCTTCCTGTGAAATTGATTTGAAAAACATTTTCGTGTATACTCACGCGTAGAAATATACACGGAGGAACGTGCGTTAACGTGACGTCACAATGAGACTGCAGCGACGTTAGTAAAATGCAACAATACAGGACAGCGAGAAATTAAATATTGAGTATATTTTAGTCGCCTCCAAATAGGTAAAATGTAAATATAAGGAACACAGACCTGCACATAGGCATATTTTTCATGAAGCGCTAACGCGCTTCATGAAATATGCCTACGTGACAAGTCTGTGTGATTCACACACCAATAATTCACACAAAACTAAAAAACATTCCTTAAATAAACCCTTCAAGCACCTTTTTCACCATAGGTAGTTGGTCTACAACCTGTTTGCAAAGTTAAATAAACCCTTCTAGCACCTAGTATAGAGGAAGGGGGAGCGTCCCCACTTTTTCCACAATCACAATGTTTACTTTTAGGTTATATTTTATTACTTAGGAATCACCATTTTGATAATTCGTTGGGGTCAATTTTTGTGGGCAAGCAAAATTGTACTTGTTCGAGGGTATGTTATGTCGTTTGTTACTCGTTTACGATAGATTCAATTAGTTAATATGTTCACAATAAAATTGTTCGTAAGGATGTAAATTTTTGGGTAAGGGTGACCCTAAAAATCCAGGAAAAATCATCCCCCATGAACAATGATGATTCCACAATAGTATGATAATATTCAAGAAAGGGCTGGTTGATATCCCCATTCTTGTCGTTAAATCAAATCATTCCTTTATGTATTAAAGTAAAATCCTATCATGTATGTTTTTCTCGAAAAAGTTGGAACCAACGTTTACCTATCGCATTATATATTTGTACATAAAATTACTTTTTTCACATTTTCCACCACTCCAGCCATCTTTACATCATTGTATGCATTCACAAGTAAAATTATTGCACACTTGCCCAGCTTCGCTGCTCAAGTGTTTACAGTTGGAATTGCATGGGATGCAATCATCCCCGTAATTTCCAACAGGACATGCTGAAAATAAAGGAGAAAATCGTTCTCTGTACATAGATTTATGAATCTGGAAATAAAAAAAACCATACGTCTGTCAAAAAGCATAATCAAAAGATATAGAGAATAAGTGTAATTGTGAAAAAAATATGTTCGCAGCTGTAATTTACATGTATGTATTCATTTTTTTAAAATTCATTTTATTTTCTGTTGTTATTACTTACATAAGTATTTACAATGTACATGTATGTATCATCAAACAAACACATAAAAAGAATTCCAATACCATTACAAAATCGGCCTCTCCAGTTATTTTTACAGGATGCACAGTCACCTGTTTCTTGATTGCATGTACCATCCCCGCAATTAGGACTGCATTTGGATGTACAGTATTCTCCAAAGTATCCGCTTTTACAGACTATTAAAAAGAATACAGTCATGTATTTGATTTCTAATATTAAAATTCAGACAGAGTTTCCGTTTTGGAGGGCTTACTTTAAAATCAGGGAGAAATAATAACCAAATTTTTTGGAAGACTTATATCACAATTATGATCGACAAATATTCTTAGAAGTGAAATAACCATAACGTCTACAACAAAAAAGATTATTAACGCCTTGCAGTGACCAATGATATGAAATATGTATTTAACTTTACATCCATTACTACTAATAAAATTGTGTTATTTTTTTATTATGTGTGGCACATATATATTTATAGTCAAAACAAATTCTAAATCAATAAAGGAGAACACTACGACCAATGAAAAGAAATTATATTATAAGTAAACTTCATCAATCATGGAATTTAGTGATCAACTTGGTTTGAAATTTTTTGCAGTTAGGACTGTATCAAAACTGATGCAATTTTACCATCTAATGCTACATTTTGTGAGTACGATTCATTCTTTCATGCAAAAAGAAAGAAAAATAACTATTGCATATTTAATGATGTATACATAGAGAAAATAGTGTAAAACGTTACTATTTGTAAATCCTTCGCAGTTTTTTGACTCAATTCTACATCCAGTTTCATAACAGTTCTTCAAATATTGTCCAGTACAAGTTTTATTTTTGCATTTCGTGCAAATAGCGGAACATGTCGGTCCAAATCTTCCCAGGACACACTCTGGAAAATAGTCTAGATACTTTATATGGTAACATTCTAAATATTTGTAAACTATTTATTACTAATTATATTTCAAAATTTATATTATTGTTGTTGCTACACTGGTGAATGAGGTCGGGATAAAATGAAATTGGAGCCACTTTTTACAACTAGTTTTTCAATATCTCGCTTTCATGATATTCTGTTAATTGAGTCAGTAAGTCTGAAAATGATTTTTTAAAGCTTAAAGTGTGTTTTTTAAGGTTCACTTTCAACATATTCAAGTGAAAATAATTAAGAAAAAATGAGGGTTAGTGCTGTTTTATAAAATAAAAGTAATTAGTTATGGAGTTGCTTACTGTCACATCGGATTCCCATCCAGCCCTCTTTGCAACCATAAATACATTCACCCGTCTTTGTATTACAACCTCCCCTACAGTTTGCACTGCAATTTTGACCACAATTGAGATCACCGATACATTCTGAAAATTGCAATTTATATGTAAATATTAAAAATAATGTGTGCTTTTTTACCATCAGAGTAACAAAAAAATTTTCTAGGTGTTGAATAAAACATGTAAAACATGCATGTTGATACAGACGATTTCCTTTTAGTTTATGTCCCTCATTTTTTTTCAAAGGTTAGTACGACAAGACCAGTATAAGCTCTGCAAACAAAGCCAAACATTTACAAATAATTGTTTAAGCTTTAGAAACAGGTTTAAACACAATTGGTGTTAAAATATATAGTTAGATGCTTGCATACTATCTTCTCACAAACAATAAAAAAGTTAATTCGTTGTAAAAATTAAAAAGCTTTAATTTAGTATGTATGTATGTATTTTAAATATTAATTTAGTATATTATGCCAGGCACACAGACATGTTTTTGACATCTAATTGATACTTGAATGCCTTCTCAGATTTTCTTTCTAAATCATTCCTCCTCTTATTTTTTTAAAAGGTTGATTTTTCAAAACTATTTGTATTTCTCAATCAAAATACAATTCTGGCCTCGCTTCTAGTGGTATTTACTTACATATATGACATACATGTAATTTGAATATTCAAGGAGAAATATTTTAATTGTCATCGAAAAAATCATGTGAACTTTAACTTACCGCTAGGACATGGATTATTGTTCATCTGAATGGGGCATCCTAAAAAATACACAAAGACAATATTATCTAAGAAAGACCTCAATTGATACATATAATCAATTCACAAAATCTAGAATTTTGTTCTTGCTGATTTGCAAAAAAAAAAAAAAATCAGATAAGCAACAAAATGTACTCAGTTTATACACACTTGCTAACACATCCTCTCACATATTCACCCTCATGCACATTCAAACACACCCCCCAACCTTCACACATTATCATACTTACACGCAGAGAGAAAAATAATTACCGAAAACTTGAATCTCTGCAATCTCAAAGTAAACACCATTATGTGAGAAATGGGTAGTTTCAACGACTACATACTGGGCAATATGTTTGCACGGGATTGTTTCAATATCTGCCGGTCTGCCCAATTCAGTATCTGTGTAACATCTATGTCTTTCAATGGTGTTGTTAGATACATCAATATAAAAATTATCGAAGCGATCCGTGTTGATTTCTACAAGAAAAAAGTAAATATAAGTCGAGTTGATGTGGAACATTATGTTCACCATATATTTTTATGCCCATGCAATCGAAGATTTCGGGGTATATATTTTTTGTCGTGTTCAGCCATCTGTCTGTTTGACCCTTAACCTTGCCTTTAACTTTTAAATTAGTTTAGCTATGAATTTTGTATTTCACATGTATAGTCCTTGTGATATAACATTTCTTTGGTTACCACCAAATTTGACATTTTTACCTTGACCTTGGAGTTTGACTCACTTTTACAAAAATTTCAAAGTTTTACTTTGGCCAAAACTTTTGAACAGTAGATACTAGGACTTTCATACTTCAAAAATGTATTCTTTGTTGCACGACAATTCCTTTGAGTTTGACCTTCTTTTAGAAAGCAAAGCTTGGCCATAACTTTTGAAGTGTTCGGACTAGGGCTTTTATACTTCACACATTTAATTCCCATGAGAAGACCTTTCATTTGTATTAAAAACTTTGACCCGTTGACCTTGGAGTTTGACCTATTTTTTTTACAACTTTAACCTTGGCCATAACATTTTAACGGTTAGGGCTAGACCTTTCATACTTCACATTAGTAATCCTTGTGACATTAGACCTTTCCCAAGAAACCAACAACTTTGACTCTTTGACCTAGGAGATTTAACTACCTTTCAAAAACATATCCTTGGCCATAACTTTGGAACAGGTAGTTCTAGGCCTAGCATAGGGCTTTCATATTTCACAATTGTATTTCTTGTGATAAGACCCTGCTTTGGGTACCAATATATTGAATTTGCATTTAAGAAAAGTTAAACTTTCCTATGTTGATATCAGTGTTTTACAAACATCTTTTTTTTTTTATCGTGATCTTTCTCTGTTTTGCCACAATTTTTATAACAAATAAGAATGTATGTACATAGGAATCACTTTGTCTAGAGTTAAAACCTGTCTGACGGTCTGCGTATCCGTCTACTTGTACGTTTTGAAATATTATTCTACTATTTCGCACTAAACTGAATTCAGATACATGTAAAATGGTGTATCACACAAAAGTGAAACAATTTGCTTAGTGTGGATGATTTCTATTTTGGAGTTCAGTAACTTTTATAACCAGTCAAAGATCCTGGTTACTCGTGATCCCCTCGTCAAGGTGGTAAATATGCACAATCAAGTTTTGATATGGTATGCATGCGCAATCAACCCCACCTTTTACTCCATCAACCCTTGAGCAAACGAAACCCCGTCCCCTTTAATAGAAGAAATTTCTAACATCCTAATGGTTATTTGAAGAAAAATATAAATAAGAAGGCAGAAAAGGTCCTTTTTTCATATTATAACGCATTTTTTATGCCGCTGTTATTGAAGATTCTTGTTTTTTTATCTGGTTGTCAACAAAAAAACACCTATTCCATATCTTTTAGGTGGATGGGGCTATGACTTTTAATATCAATTCTCTGTAATTATCAAACAATATCAATAATGCTTGGCCACGCTACATTTTCAATTTCTATGAAACTTTTTGTGTGTACTCACATTGTCACATCATTAATGGTTTTATATTTTTTTATTTCAAAAAATGTCTCGTTGCCATGGTAACGGCACCTAATGTTTCCCCTGTAAATTCTTCCTAAAATTTGATCAAAAAACGTGATTTTGTAGGTTTTACTGAATAAAAATGGGCTTAAAAGAAACAAGAGAATGGGAAAATCTACTTTTGTTTCAAAACTACCATTATTCCTCTCTAGTATAACAACATAATTTTTTAAAAACTGTAATTCTACATAATGGCTTAACAACGCTTAGCTTTGGGGATTTTGGCATTTTGCCAAAATGAGAAAATTACCATTTTAGACCCTTTTTCAAAGCGATTTTTTAATACTTTGCACACTGACTTGAAATTCAGGAAACCGTGCATTGTATAGATGGTACATAAGTTAGTTTAAACACATTAAAATATTTATGAGACTCTTAAACATTTTTTTTAAAAAGCTGATGAAAAATTACCCAAAATCTGCAAAATTTCCGTATTTTAAGGAACATATAAGCATTTCATTAAGTTCATATAGAAAAGAAATGTTCCTTTCTACCTGTTTTGATGTCATTTACAGTAAAATAAGTCCATATCAAGAAGAAGTGTCATGTAAAAATATTTACATCCCATTTCCAAGAGCATTAATACATGTAAAAATGTTCTTAGATAGGAGAACTGTGAACACCTGCACAAAATCCCCCCCCCCCTTTTCCGTAAAATTGACAATTTTGAAGTACATGTAGAGTAACCAGGGCATGTTTCAAGTTTCCTGAAACTATCACCTTAGATTGAAACTAATATGAAATAAAATTTTCCCTATCCATTTTCTATTACTATGGAAACAGGAATGCAAGATTTGTTACCATGGAGACAGGAATACCAGATTTTTAACCAAAATGGCTGCGTTTAACGTAACAATATTCCAAAAACTACACTTATTTACTCTTTTATAAAACCTGTGTAATGAGTTCAATGAGAATGTGAACTAAATTTTTTGGCATCTTAAATTTGCATCTTTATGATGTTGCAAAAATATAATGCATTTTATAATGCTATGTCAAATAATTGCAAAACCTTGTGGCTTTTACTTTTTCAAGATTTGGTCAAACTTGAAAAATTCTGAAATGAAACTAAAACAAGCTGGACATTCATAATATTTTACTCATTTCAACTTGTTACTTTGTAAATTATTTATTAAATTCATGGGCAACTGCAAACCACAGATACCTTGAATAAAGTCCAAAATTTACCCCCCCCCTTCTGATTTTTTCTTTTAAAACTTATGAAACACGGCTTTAAACTTGAGAAAAATTACATTGGTTTAAAAAAAATCACATCCTCTTAGGTAAGTTATCTTGGATTTAATCATAAATATCCAACAATAGAAAACTTTAAACATAGTGTTTTGCATATAATTAATAATTAGGTTTGCAATGGATCTTTTGTATTCTGTAAAGTCAGTTGAAACAACGCCCCCCCCCCCCCCCCCCCCCCCATGAGACACTGTCCCCCACAAGTATCATTTAAAGGAAGTTCTTCCTTTCATTTTACTAGGTTCCTGCCAACATCTCTTTACACCAACTATATCAATCTCATTTCTCTTTTTTTTTTTTACCATGTAAATATAAATTCTGAAAACGAGAACTTTTCACTTTTTTTATTTTTTATATTTGCAACATTTAGAGTACATGTATTCTCAACTACGGTACATATCATTAGATTCACGTGACAAATTCTGTGTTTCTGGTGCTCTGAAAATCTTGTCTCTGATTTTTCAATTTTAGATTTTTGTTGGTTAGGCATGTACCAGTAATGGCCTACATTGACATACGCAAGTAACACTGATAATTAGTTAATGAGAATTATGCTGAGTAGAGTTTTTTTGGCAAGGTACAGGATAAAGCTTGATAAGTTCTAAAACATATTGTTATACAGCATAAGATTTGAGGATGCCATCACATAATATGATAAACATGTTCCTATTATATTTGAACTTTGACAACTCAAACACTGATATCTTGAAGACAGTGGGTACAAGTATGTTGAAGTAGGTTGGAATTCAGCTTTCACTTGCCTGGTTTCAAACCTTAAATATGGCATCCCTTCTCAACCTGCAATGGTAAATAATTCCTGCACTTTCCAATATACACTGATTTCAAGCTAATTAAATGTGTATGTAATCCTTTAGAAAGTTGTTTTCTTTATTCTAGTATAATAATTCTTCTGTTACTGGACAGGTATTAAATTTTGTTTAAAAAAAAAAGAAATAAGCAAGGTTTAAATTTAGATATAAAACTGAAATATTTTTTGAAAATTTAAGGACAGATGATACAAACAAACTTTTGTCAAGGAATTTGAAAATAACAAATGGGGTCATGTTTAAATCAGTAAAATTAATAACTTTCTTCAAATACTTGTTAATTTTTAATTCATATTTGCATAAAAATGGAATCTGAAGTGAAAAATATTTGTATAGATTAATAAGGATAGTTTCAAGAGGGCAGACTTTTGAATATCACAGAAGGTTTACAATTTCTTTATTAATAGCATCATTAATTTGCAATTAAATTATACCAAAAAATATATACCAATCCAGGCATCCATTTTTTGTTTGTATCATCTGTCCTTAATATACTTTCATATTTTAAGAATGGTTACATTGAAAAGAACAAAATCTAGGCTGTCCACTTTCTTGCAGAATGCAATTGAACTTCAGTCATGGCCTATTTGGTCCGGTTTTGGTTTACTGGTCTTACTTTTTCTTTATTCATCTTATATGGTAAATCCTTTGATGAAAAAATGATGAAAATAATTATTTTCCTAGGAACATGATCAAAAGGAAAATCATTTCATTCATAAACAGACATGTTCATGTGTGTGATCATCTTACCAGTAGTGAATATTTGCCTGAGTATCAAATAATTTGTTTAGAATATTATAAAACATGGTCAGTGTGTATAAAACAAATATCATTATAAATCAGAGGTGAATATTCTACATGTACATGTATATAGTTTTATTATACCCTCCGCTTGAAAAGTGGTAGGGTATACTGTAATCGGTATGTCCGTCTAGCTGTGCGTCCATCTGTCTGTACGTCTGTCTGTCTATTACGCTTTAGGGTACCCATCTCTTATTATCCGCAACTCTTCTTATACCACTGCAATGAGTGAAATTTAATGAACCTTTCACAAAATATTTATTACGTATTGCCATTGTGCACCTCCTATTTGACTTTTTGATTCAACACATATTTTGGGCTTCCTGGCCACAGTAAAACATGGATTTGTCATCAGTTAATACCATATGGGAGGCAGGGGGTATCATTTAGTGAGCTCATTGCTCACAGTACCTCTAGTTAAATTTTGTTTTAACACTAATACATATGTACAAGTGTACATATTATTTTTTACTGTTTGCTATTTGAAAAGATTATTATTATTCACACAAAACGGAACTATATATTATACAGTACCGGTACTTCACAGACGAATGAAAGAGTCTATATAAACAAAAATAACTCAATATTCCCAGTGCATTCTTAACCTAGATCTATTTTGTCAATACATATAGTACAGTTTTGGATATATATAATAAATTTAAAGTTTAAAAGACAGAAGCTATTAAATAAAACAATGACATCAAAACAAACATGTTGTTTTCCTATTTTCTGCTTATGAACATCACATGTAGTGTTGTCAAATCGGTTGAAAATCAGAATCGATTAATCGGTAGCATCAGTTGACCCTAACCAACTGATCATCGGCCAATAATCGAATCGGTAACCCTTTGCATAAAATAAGCATTAGATTTTAAATAAAATTTAGAATTCTATTTTTAAATAATGTAAGTAAAGGTGCATTGTACAGATCGAAATTCTAAAAACAGTATATATGCAGTTTGACTAACAATATCAGTAGTACAGATTTTTGCATGATTAGGAATTACTTGGCTTGGGAAAAATAAGCATTGACAGATCAGATTTAATTTACATGATCATCTAAAATATATATATGGAATTAATTTTTTAAACTGTTATAAGACATTTATATTGCAAATCATTGTGATTCTGTATGAAATGACAGGTGAGTTAATTCCCCAAGATACTGAAAGCTAATATATTTCATTTATACAAGTAGTTTAGTTTCTTCAGTTTAGAAATATAATTATCATTATCTTATGATTTATTTTAAACAGATTTTAAGTACATGTATTTTAAATAGTAACTTGGAAGATATATATTTTGATAACAAGAGCCTTTTCTTGAAATAAAAGTGAGAAAACTAAAAACAAGAGGCCCATGGGCCACATCGCTCACCTGAGAAGCTTTGACAATTCTGTACTTTACTAGATTTACCCCTTGTAATACATATTGTGACCCCACCCTACCCCACTAATCATAATTTAGACAATTTGAAATCTACACAGATTTTTCCTATATATTTCTATGTAAAACTTTGATTCCCCATTGTGGCCCCGCCCAATCCCCGGGGGTCTTGATTTGAACAATTTAGAATCTACACTACCCCAGGATGTTTCCACATAAGTTTCAGCTTTTCAGGCACAGTGGTTCTTGAGAAGAAGATTTTCAAAGATTTTTCCTATATATTTCTATGAAAAACTTTGATTCCCCATTGTGGCCCTGCCCAATCCTCGGGGGTTATGATTTGAACAATTTAGAATCTACACTACCCCAGGATGCTTCCACATAAGTTTCAGCTTTTCTGACACAGTGGTTCTTGAGAAGAAGATTTTCAAAGATTTTTCCTATATACAGTACCCGCATCGTTATTCTTTACAGGATACACGATACGATAGGATACACGCACGATACGATAGGATACACGCACGATACGATAGGATACACGCACGATAGGACAGGATACACGCACGATATGATAAACGCAAAACACGATAAACGCAAAACACGATACACGCAAAACATGATAAACGCAAAACACGATAGACCTGATAAACGATCTTCACGATAGGATAAACGCAAAACCTGATAGGATTGTTTCAAAATGCGGAACGTGTTCTGACAAAACGAAAAGATTATTTTGTTTATTTGCTGCAATATTTTAATTTAAATACTTGCAGAGCTTCAAATCTAAATTATTAAGTACATTTCATTATTATAATAAACTAACTTGAGATCTCTGTGGTAATTTTACAAAATTTGTTTATTTATATAAAAATTTTTACAATGATTAAATGAGACTGTAATTTTTTTTTTATTTCTTCTCAATTGTGTGAATTTACGATTTAGTGTTAATGTCGAAATTCTCATCTTAAGGTTGAAATATGAATCGTTTTATTATAGATATTTAAGCATACATTTACATGTAATTGTTGCACAAAAAATGCACAAAAATCCCTAACATTATTATGTACCGTTTCTCACGGGTACTATTATAAATTTTTGAAACTCTATAAATAGACTTATTATTTTTGAAAAAATATACATTTGGATTTTCTATCTAATAAGATTATCTACAAGTACCAATTTATTTCACGGAAGAAATTTACACAATAAATTAAATATTTGTATTTAATGTCTAAAGATTACAATCTGCGATGTATCCAAAAGTCGCAATTAAATATTAAGATCTTAAAAAAAAATACAAGTAGAAAACCGGCCGAAAGAAAGGTTCAAAGAAACAGCTTTAATGAATTAATAAATTTAACAGATAGATCTTTCAAGAACTTATTAGTTCAAGAAAATTAATTTCCTGAATAGAAATCTAGATAATTGTTAATATAATGGCGCTCTGCATTAATACATTTAAACTATGTCAACAGAATATGAATCTCCTACAGCTGCACTTGTACATGTACGTTTACGCTTAGCTCTCACTTATATATCAGATACTGAAAACTTCCTATTAATTAACGAGTATTGAATGGTTAAATACACAAAACACAAAAATTAATCAACAAATATTAAAAGAGTGAAATGCGACTTTTCCGACTAAATAATTATGTCATTGCTATTTAGCTTTGTGTGTACTGTTTCTAATAATAACAAAAGATAGGTTTAAGTCGGCAAATGAATTATTAAACCCTGAAAATCATTTTAGACCCGGTAATCTAATATGAGGCATATTCGAAGGGTGGGATGTTGAAAGTCCGTAACCAATTTAAAATTAGAAACAAGATCTAACCAAATAGCCAAATATAATATTGAACTCTTAAATAAAGTTATATACGTACATGTATGGAATTAAATCGATCAATACTATAAACTGATTCGGTGTATTTACTTGTCTTGCATGGTCACGGCGGAATCAGACGACCTCTTTTGTTTTATTATTATAGTAAGATACCGTAAAAAAAAAATCATGCGAGCTAATTTTCATAGTTTAGAATGTTAGAACTACATGTATTTCATCCGTTTCTACGATCAATGAAATTGTTTCCCAGAATTAATTTGACCCCGTTACATAGAAAACCCGATGATCCGAAAGTCCATGTACCACAAGTACAGTTTTTTTTTTAAGTTTATTAAAAGACGTATTTACATAAGCATAATGGAACGATTGTACAAAATGAAATAAATCAGCGGATTGAGTTTAGGGATTTCATTTCATTAAATTGATTTATTTGAATAATTGCTTTAAAATTTAAGCAATGAGATGATTTTTTTAATCCATAAATCGTACAATTATTTAATATATTTTAAATTATATCTTTGATAAGTTTGTTCACACAAGTTAGGAACACAATCCCGAGAATAAATAGATGCGTTTCATTAGAACCAGGTAGTATTCGAGGTTACTAATTGACCCCAGGTGAGAAATCAGTAAAGGTTTGTTGACGATGATCACACACACGGGCCGAGGTGTCAGTTAGGGGAGAAGGGGGACCGCTCAGGAAGGCAGTGTGCTGATTAGAGAGCTACACATACGTGTCAGTTTTCTGGTATGGAAAGGTCTTCGATTTGACACCCCGATGGATTATATTTTCAGTTTATTTTCACGCCGAAAAAGGTAAGTTGTTAAAAAACATAATGTTTTTCCTTGTATACATTAATTTAAAATTTGAACGTATACGGCCAAAATTGGTGTTAAAGTCATCTGGATTAATGTCTAATGTTTTATTATTTTTGTAACATGATGACTTTAAATGATTTTGTATACATGCAGCTTAAAGGCGTAAACATATTACTTATATTATCAGACGATAAATAAGGGGAAAAAAGAATATTGCATGAAAAAAGATACATATCAATATCCTGCTTATTATTCATTTATTTGCTTTTTGGATACGCATACACCGTAGCTTACCAAAAATCTTTCTCCAGTAACTCTTATTCATTTAAGAAAACCATATTAAAAATATTTAATTTTGAATAATTAATTCATACAATTCGATAAATTATTTTAAAAAAAAGACCGGTGATCTATTATAATTTCAATTCCGAAAAATACAGTTACTGTTTAATTTTTGACAATCACTCTCTACTTCACCAAGATATAATTATTTTATTTATTTAATCATTAATTTATTAATCAATTTATTTATTCATGAAATACGCTATTTATTTATTATTTTCCTTCTATGCTTTAATATTTCTTTTAAGGATGAAAAAGAAAGGGATAAAACTTTCTTTTCTCCTTTTTGGTTGAAGTAATCTTATTTTAGTTAACAAAACGAAAAAGAAACTCGGAATAGCTCAGTAGTTTCTTTCTATAGTAAAGATAAAAAGCGAGGGTTTCCGAATGTACACGATAAACGCAAAACACGATACACGATAGAACCTGATAAACGATCTACACGATAAACGGAAAACACGATACACGCAAAACACGCAAAACCTGATAAACGGAAAACACGATACGATAGGATACGATAGGATACACGCAAGATACGATAGGATACACGCACGATACGATAGGATACACGCACGATAGGACACGATAGAATTGTAAAGAATAACGATGCGGGTAATGTATTTCTATGTAAAACTTTGATTCCCCATTGTGGCCCCGCCCAATCCCCGGGGGTTATGATTTGAACAATTTAGAATCTACACTACCCCAGGATGCTTCCATATAAGTTTCAGCTTTTCTGGCACAGTGGTTCTTGAGAAGAAGATTTTGAAAGATGTTTCCTATATATTTCTATGTAAAAATTTGATTCCCCATTGTGGCCCCACCCAACCCCTGGGGGTCATGATTTGTATAATTTAGAATCTACACTACCCCAGGATGCTTCCACATAAGTTTCAGCTTTTCTGGCACAGTGGTTCTTGAGAAGAAGATTTTCAAAGATTTTTCCTAAATATTTCTATGTAAAACTTTGATTCCCCATTGTGGCCCTGTCCAATCCCCGGGGGTCATGATTTAAACAATTTAGAATCTACACTACCCCAGGATGTTTCCACATAAGTCTCAGCTTTTCAGGCACAGTGGTTCTTGAGAAGAAGATTTTCAAAGTTTTTTCCTATATATATCTATGAAAAACTCTGATTCCCCATTGTGGCCCCGCCCAATCCCCGGGGGTTATTGTTTGAACAATTTAGAATCTACACTACCCCAAGATGCTTCCACATAAGTTTCAGCTTTTCTGACACAGTGGTTCTTGAGAAGAAGATTTTCAAAGATTTTTCCTATATATTTCTATGTAAAACTTTGATTCCCCATTGTGGCCCCGCCCAATCCCCGGGGGTCATGATTTGAACAATTTAGAATCTACACTACCCCAGGATGCTTCCACATAAGTTTCAGCTTTTCTGACACAGTGGTTCTTGAGAAGAAGATTTTCAAAGATTTTTCCTATATATTTCTATGTAAAACTTTGATTCCCCATTGTGGCCCCGCCCAATCCCCGGGGGTCACGATTTGAACAATTTAGAATCTACACTACCCCAGGATGCTTCCATATAAGTTTCAGCTTTTCTGGCCCAGTGGTTCTTGAGAAGAAGATTTTTTAATGACCCCACCCTATTTTTGTCTTTTCTTGATTATCTCCCCTTGCGAGGGGATATGTCCCTTCATTTTAACAATTTAAATTCCCCTTCACCCAAGGATGCTTTGTACAAAGTTTGGTCAAAATTTGCCCAGTGGTTCTTGAGAAGAAGTCAAAAATGTGAAAAGTTTACGGACGGACGGACAGACAGACGGACAGATGGACGGACGGACGGACGGACGGACGACGGACACAATGTGATCAGAAAAGCTCACTTGAGCCTTCGGCTCAGGTGAGCTAAAAAAAGATAGGTGCTAAATATACCGATTAATCGATTTTTAAAATCTCCAATCGATTGTCTAAAATCGACAGCCTTTCCGACCGATCATCGATTATAAATCGATCATCGTGACAACACTAATCACATGACATTATTTTGCTGATATATAGAATACTATTTAAAAAACTTAGCTACTTTATGCTTGTGCATAAAAGCCATAAACGTTTATAAACGTTTTCTTTCAACTTTATACAATCTCTATATAGACATTTATATTTCGGGGGGGGGGGGGGGGGGGGGAGTTCAGCTGTATCAGCAAGTGATGTTTATATGCTTCAAATTCATTTTCATTAATAAAAATAATTAATTCATTGGTCAGAAAGTCAAACTGTCAAAAGGTATAGTACGCTTGATTTGATAAGGACCACTGACCACTACCGCCGTACCGGTAAAACAACTGTGTATTGTGAGGCAAATAAAATTAAGAAAATATGCATTTGTTAATCTTGATCTTTTTGTAATGCTCAGTATATACATAAATTTACCTTCTGTCTTCATTGTTTAAGATGTCTAGCCTTCTTTTCTTCTTCCAGACTGTAAAACTTTGATCAAATTGATGAGATCCTTCGCCAGAAAAAGTTCATTGCTGTTTACTAAATACACATTGTACCTCCAAACGTTAGAGAGTAGTTCAAGGGAAGTAATTAGGAAGCAAAAAATGCTTCAAAATGTAGAAAAAAGTAATCTTTACCTTTGAATTCCTTTAACATCTTTGAGTGTCCCACCAATATTTTACATATTTTGATATAATCAAATATCAGCCTTTCATAATTAATTAAGGTCTTCCGTTTCCAACGGAAGACCTTCTACTGATTCTGAAGATTAAGATTATTAGGGTCTTCCGTCTTCAGCGGAAGACCCTTCTATTATTCTTCGGTTTCTTTTTTACCTTTATTAGGGTCTTCCGTCTTCAGCGGAAGACCCTTCTATTATTCTTCGGTTTCTTTTTCACTTTTATTATTATTAGGGTCTTCCGTCTTCAGCGGAAGACCCTTCTATTATTCTTCGGTTTCTTTTTTACCTTTATTAGGGTCTTCCGTCTCCAACGGAAGACCCTTCTATTATTCTATTGTTTCTTTTTCACTTTTATTATTATTATTATTATTCTTTTTTTTTCTTTACAATTTTTGTGCAGAAGATTTCTCGGAGATGGCTCGACCGATTTTCTTGAAAATTTCGGAGAAGATGTATCTTTATCTAAACCTTATACGTTTTTTTCATTTTTTTGAAATTCACTTCCGGTCGTGAGTTATCGCCCTTTGATCGAAATTTTGATGACCTTCATGTCTGTGATGGAACTCAAAAACGGCTAAAGCTAGAAAGCTGATTTTTTCAGGGATGATAGAGGACATGTTGCTATATTGCAACATGGTCAGGAAATTTTCCGGAAGTGCCTAGTATGGAAGCTCGGTAGGGGTCAAAATTTAGGACACGAATCACGACTGATTTTTTGAGACATTTTGCATCATATCTTTTAAAGTATCATTATTTTGTCAAAACATAATGAACATAATTTGTGCAAAATGACACGATCTTTAATATGATATCAAGAAAAAAGTGCTGACTCATCACAATAAGGGCCAATAGGGGCCAAAAGTCTTTTTTCGATAACTCTTGATCGGTCAATATTTTGTTAGACATTACAGAAGCAAAAATGTTTATCTCAACAATCTACAACTGCATATTACAATTTTCATGTCGTATGTTACATAATTAGGGGCCACAGGGGGCCAGAACACTAAATCTTTGACGCTTTATATCTCAAAAGTGGGAAATATTTTGATAAGTAGTATTGAACAAAAGATGTTCAAAATAATGTTCTGAACAACATAAAACCTTTAGTTTTTCGCTATACATCCCCTTTAAGGAGTTGAAGGGTTGGCCCCTAAATATTTCTTTTTCAAATAACTCGAAAACGAAAGAGAATCTCTGAATAGTTGTTGAACAAAAAGTGTTGAAAATCCTGAGAGCTTTAAGAAAAGATCAAGGAAAA